GACAACTCCATACGTTCCTTCGCCAATTCTATTGAGTTTTTCAAATTCAATAACATTTCGACAACAACCAAAGCGATATTTTTCTGGCACAACAGTTTTGCTTTCTTCTGTGAAAGATTCCATTTCCAGAAAGGCAGTTGATTTGGCCAGTGTGGGATCCTCCATAATATTTGTGTCAACTCTGATAAGTGATATTATATCTAATTTCTGCTTTTGGCCTGCACTTTAATATGGTATAAATAATCCACAGACCACACAAAACAAGACAGAAAACTTTTATATAGTCATAGTGTTGAATCAAAAAAGAAAAACATTTTCAAAAGTCATATATATAAAACACTAGCTTATGACAAAATATGTAGTACAAAACGCTACACATGGTGACATAATGGCAGAACTAGGGATAACATGGGATACTGAGTGAGGAATAAGTGAGATATATAATAAAATACTTATATTTCATTGCCAACCTGTGGTGGTGTTACTGTGTTTTTTACAACAACCCCTCAGCCCCCAGTGCTCCAACTCCCCCTCCCCAACCTGATACTCAGGGTTTACACTTCTGCTACCCCCCGAGTGGGTTTCGGGGGTTAGCGGAAGTGAAAACCCTGAGTATCAGGTTGCTTCCCCCTAAAATGGTTGGTCGCTGCTGGTCGGCCAAGAGACTATGTACATCCGATGAAAAATTTCCCTGTAATACCATTTCCATAGGCGTATGGGAGGAAAAAATTAGGAGGGGGGATCTTAATGGGAATTGGGGGCTGCAGCTCCTTGAAGCACCCTTATTTTCTCACAACTATATAACCCTAGTTTTGGGGGACCTTTAAACTGGAGGCATCTTTAATTCAGTACTTTCTCCAGGGTTACCGTACGACACGTATAGCAGCGGCAGGTACAAAACGCAGGTTGCAGGTTGCAGGTTGCAGGTTGGAATTTTGCAGGTTGCGAATTTTGCAGGTTGGAATTTTGCAGGTTGGGGATTTTGCAGGTTGGAATTTTGCAGGTTGCCAGGAACTTTGCAGGTTGATAATGCAAACTTAAAATTACACCATTTTTTTAGTATTCTAGTATAATTTAGTTGTGCATTTATTGCAGTCTGACTCCTTGTCGGCGCCTCTGCTCTAAGGCTAGTGGCCATCACCCCCGTGAAAACATTCAAAATGACCAGATTGGCTTGGACCTACGGGGAGACGAATGCAGGGGCGTAGGAACCGGGGGGGCAGGAGGGGCCTGCCCCAAGTTTTGCCAAGTGCCTTTTTCCGGGAGCAAAGTGCCCTTTTTTTGCGTTAAAAATGTTTTAAGGATTGCCTTTTTTTGCCCCGCAAAGCGCACTTTTCGAAACTTGAATTTATGTTATTTTCCGGAATATTTTTTTCATTTTTTGGTATTTCGGGAAAATTTTTTTCATATTTAGGAAAGTTGGATGTATCCGGACAAATTTTTTTTGTATGTCCGGATATAATTTTTGAGACCTCATGTTTTCACAAGGGTGATGAGTGACTGAGGCTAGAATCATGGTAGCAGGATAGGCTGATATCAAAAGTGGCGACAAGGAGTCAGACTGCAATAAGTATACAATAAAATTATACTAGAATACTTTATAGTAGACGTAATTTTCAGTTTGCATCATCAACCTGCAAAATTCCTGTAAACCTGCAAAATTCCAACCTGCAAAATCCCCAACCTGCAAAATTCCAACCTGCAAAATTCCCAACCTGCAAAATTCCAACCTGCAACCTGCAACCTGCGTTTTGTACCTGCCGCGTATAGCAGTGCTTCCATTTTCAAGGAAATTTCCTTTTCTAAGGAAATTGTGGGTACATCCTCGGGTAGAAGAATTTGCATCACAGACTACGTCATCAGTTAGTTATAGCGATTAGTTTTGAGGTTAGGGTAAGGGTTAGGGTAAGGGTTAGGGTTAGGGTAAGGATTAGGCTTAGAGATAGGGATTTGGTTATATCTGACGCCACAAACAACACAACTAGCCGATCACGTGATCACTTCTCCTCTACCCGAGGAACTACCCGAAATTCTAGTGTCGAAAAGGAAAATCTAAGGAAGAGAAAAAATCTAAGGAAATCTAAGGATTTTTTCCGAACAACTTAAATATTCATCAAATGGCATTAGTGCAGAAGAAAGTTTCACTATTTCTTGAATTTTTGAGTGAATTATCAATTATGTTTAATTAAAAATCTGTTTTTAACTTTTCCCTCGTGTTTCCGAAAACTTCCGAAAGTTTTTGAGCGATAGGATTTAGTAACTTTTGGCGCCAAACACTGTGAATAATTAATTTTTTATATCAATGGAAAGGTGTATGTTGTAAACTCATGACAAATATTTAATTTTAAACAGTATAATAGCCTGTGGTTTTTTAGCTAGCAATCATCTTTTTTAGTTGTGCTATTTTGTGCCTTTAAAAATTATTAAATCCTTTGTATTGCTACAAACGCACTGCAAACCGCCTAATGAAATTTCAAGGAATTTTCAAGGAAATAACGTATACAATCTAAGGAATTTAGAGAAATTTTGATGACAAAAATGAGAAATTTTGATTTTGAAAATGGAAGCACTGACGTATAGTAACCACTGATAGTAACGTTACTGGTTATGTTACGTAACCTACAGGTCAAGTATGTCAAAATTAATTCAAGAAATTGCAAACGTCTAAAGAATATTTCAGAATTCTTAAAACTCGAAGCCTTTCAACTATGGCTATGTGCACACGGGCGTCGTTTTCGAGCGTTTTCAAAAACGTTTTTGTCCCTTTAATCGCTTTGATGCCCTGTTCACGTGGTTCAAAGGAAAATATCTCCAATATATTAAATAAACTACAGCTTCAGTCGTAAATTAATAGTTTTCGCATCCGTTTTAGCGTGAAAACGCAAATGAAAACGCTCGAAAACGTTACCGTGTGCACGTAGTCTATGTCTATGAACCATTTTTAAACTACCACCAGAAACATGTCGACAGTTTATCGTAAAACGGTATGGTTCGTCCGTGGGCTGCGTGAATATACGTTAAATGGCTACCTTGAAGCGAAAAAGAAATTCGAAGACTTAGACACCGACACTTATAAAGACCTAAACGGTAAAGCGTATATGGTGACAGGCGCAAACAGTGGAATAGGGAAAAGCGTTTCGTTAGAGCTAGCCAAACGTGGAGCTACTGTACACATGGTTTGCCGCGATAAAACGCGAGGGGAAGAAGCACATCAAGAATTATTAGAAGCCAGCCCAAACAAAGAGGTGCATTTACATCTATTGGATATGTCAATGCCCAGAAAAGTTTGGGAATTTGCACTAAATTTTGCGGCATCTGGAAAAACCTTGAATGTTCTGGTAAACAACGCTGGTTGTATGGTGAATGAAAGGGTGGTATCGGAAGACGGATTGGAAAAAAATTTTGCAACAAATACTTTGGGGACTTACATATTGACCACTGGGTTGATCAGCACACTTGAGAAAAGCGAAGAGCCTCGGATTATTACTGTTTCATCAGGTGGGGTGTCGTCATAGTAACTTTGGATAATGGGGTTGTTAGAGGGATGGAAAAATTCAAGATTGCCCCTCCCATTTAACACTGGTGGAAGAGGGATTAGACCTCCCCCACAGAGGAAATTAACACCCCCCCCTATCCCCTTTATTTTATTATTGTCAGAGGTGTACTCTCCATACACCCCTCCAGATGGCAGAAATTACCTCTGTGGGGAGAGTGTGGATCTTTTCTGGAATGACCCATTAGAGAAATTCCATAAAAGGAGAAGTTAATAAACTTTCCCTGTGAGCAGAAGTATCTGTATCTTGTATTTCTGGTAAGCTTCTGAGATGTATGTCTTATTTTCATTCTAGGTGGAATGCTTTTGGTCAAGCTCGATGTTCAAGATTTACAATTTGAGAGGATGAATCCATTTGATGGCACAATGGCATATGCCCAGAATAAACGTCAACAGGTGATCATTACAGAAAAATGGGCTGAAATGTACAAGTCAACAGGCATTCACTTCTCATCTATGCACCCAGGTAATAAGCAAGCTCAACATATTTATTATTACCATGACAGAGTTCTATACACAGAGTGTGAGTCAACATTTTCAGAAAGAATTAAATCATACATTTGAGCCACACCAGAAAACCGCACCCAATCCCTCAATGGTCGCACTAAAAACCGTAAATTTTGGAACATATGTCTTCAATTTCAATGCTTTCTATAATTCTACAGTTTGCATGATTGCCAAATTGTCATATTATGTGGTAACTGTGGTTAATTTCAAGCAAATTGACACACACTAGGTTTGTCCCCCTGGGCAGTTTAGGGGAGGTTGCACAAAGTGTACAGGGGCATTTCGGGAGAACTTGACTGCACACATCCCTGCATTGCTAAGAATACCAGTTTTTATTTTAATTTTTCAGTTCTTGCCTACTAGTGCTTGCTCAAAATTGTTGGTACCCTTTGCTTTTTTATAGGATGGGCAGATACTCCTGCAGTAAAATCATCAATGCCAGATTTTCACAGACGGATGCAAGGAAAACTGAGAACACCCGAGCAAGGTGCGGACACTATTGTCTGGTTATGTATTTCCAAGGAAGCAGTCAAAACTCCAAGTGGATCATTCTTTCAGGACCGTCAAGCAGTTTCAAAACACCTCCCTCTTGCTTGGACAAAGTCCTCGGCTGGTGATGAGGAGACACTGATGACAAAATTAAAGGAACTTGCAGAGAAATTTAGGGTAGAAAATACACCTAATGAATGAATGATTTTAACTCAAGGCCAGATATATAATACAAGCCAAATGAACAAGACTGAAGTAGAGTAAATGTTTGACTGAAATATGTAGCCACCTATTGTGATTTGTGTCAATACTACTGTATTTGTATTTATATTAGTTGCAAGTAAAGGTCTGACTAATTTAGAAGAACTAGCCTGAATTATACAATGACAATTGCCAACAGTATACACAAAAGAAGAGTAATAGTATGTTTGTATTGCCTTCTGTATAAAATATTATTATTATTTTAGAAACTTCATATAATCATGTCTATACTGTGTTTGTATTCTTATTAGTATATCTCATAGGAAACACGACCTACTTGTCAAGTTTGTAAATCAATATCATAAAAATTACATAGTGTGTTGAATATATAAATATAGTATGATTGTACAATAAAAATATGTTTGTTCTTCCTTATTTTATACAATTGTTCTTATAAAATTATTATGCTAATGCAAGACACTGATATGGTATATAGCTTTGTGATTTGTCATCATGAAATGCAACGCATGATGTTGTCATGGCCCTAGACTGATAATGCTCAAGACAGAGGCAGACATCAGAATATGCCCAGTCTGTATCTACAATCAAGTTTCAGTTACACATCTTTTTCTCTAACTTTAGTTGTGTGCGTAACAGGATGTAACCAAGACGTCACTTGACTCATGTGGTTAATATAATATCGTTCCCCTTCATTAGTGTATGCCTCTTCCCAACCAAATGGCAGAGGCTCTTCTTCAAGTAATACCCTTACACCATGTGCAACATCTAGAGCTTCATCTGCAAGTTTATGTAACATTGCTCTTTGCGGCAAGTAAGATGGTGGTGAACCAGGGGTCTGTGGAGAGATGGAGGAACTTGCTGGAGACACCCCACCATGTTTCAGGTAATCATAAACACGATCTGCAAGAGTTAGTAACTTTTGAGTAGAAACTTCGTAGGTCCTTTTCATAACTTCATTTTTTCGCAACTGACATCCTAAAACAACGACCTTCTTTTGTAAATCTTGAACCTCTTGTTGTTTGGGAGTGCCTTGTGTCTTCACAAGACGAAGTTCATCTTCTAACAATCTGATAACTTGTTCATAATCCTCATCTCTCCGCACAGCAGCTTCTGTTGCCTGTCTGGCAAGGTAGACCTGGTCTTTGAGGGTCATGCTCTCTTCCAGTGCCTCTTCTGCAGTTCTTTTTATTCTTTCCATTTGTTCTACTTCGGATAATGTCAAACTTTGCTTTTCGTCTAACTGTTGTTTTAACAAATCAACCTCAGCTAATGCATTATCACGTTGCCTTGTCAGGTCTGCAATACGACTGTCCATGACGTTTGGAGAAGCTTGTCTGGCTACTAGAGAGGTTTGAACCAAAGGTGCTTCATTCTTTTGCAAACCACTCAAAGCAAACTGCAATTTGGTTCTGCTAAGTACCCCACTATGATCGTTTAACTCGACACTTAAAACATCTTGCACAACATCAACAAAGTCACCGTATGAAACACAACCACTTACATCAATATGCAATTTCCCTCTGATTTCTTTTTGCTGTTCTGCTGTTAACTCAACCCCTAAATAACTCAAAGCAACTTCCAACTTTTCAATACGAAGTTTGGATGCTGGTGCCAAAGAAAGTCGACGCTTTGGAGGTTTCCTAGCAGTGTCCGGCATTGTATCCCTAGGAGTTGTTGACTCACGAGACCCTCTTAGGTCTTGTTGAAGGTAAAATTGTATAGATGATGGTTGTATTGAGGATTGCATGATTGAAGAGAAGTGGTTAGTTGGATAAGATTGTGTTGTACCATAATTACCATTTTCATCAAGATTATGCTGATCAAATAACCGAGAGCTTTCAACTTGTTTGTTTGTTTCCGCTTTACCAACCACTGTTGCCACTGGTTCCCCTGTTCCAACCAGATTGCCCTCACCAAAACTCGCCTCTCTGCTGACCATACCTTGACACACATAGGTTATCTCAAATTCACTCTCTGCTCGAAGTTTAACTTGGGTCAGTTTCATCTTGGCTTCCTCATGTGTAACATTAAGAAATGACTCACCATTAATACTAACAATCTGATCGCCAGGTTGAATTTGACCATCATGAAAAACATCGCCACCGTTAACAAGCTCTTTAACGATCACAACTGGACCATCTGAATGGTTGGTACCGCCTGTGACACTCATACCCAGTCCATTTGTGACAGGAATGTGAGTAACCATTACATTCGTTAAACTTTTCAAGGTGGATGACGAAGACTGTAAACCCGAATCAACATTAGACTCGGCAAGGGATGCAGGTCGTTCACTGTTTATAAGCATATCCACTGTATTCGATAGGTCCCCACCTTTAGTACCATCCTTTCCAAACTCCAGACCTCTGGGAGACATATTCCCAGATGACATTGGTGACATTCTACCATTGGCTAAAACCCATGACCGTTTTTCAATGAGGGTGGGTGAAACCACTGTAGAACGTTCGAAACTGTGACTGCCAGAAAAATCACCATACTTTGCCGTCCCATTTCTCAAAACTCCAAGTAACTTATTATACTCTTGTGCAGCAAATGCACTTCTTTCTACTAACAGAGTTACAGTTCCCGCCTTGGCTGCGTTTACAAGAACGCTCATTGCTTTTTCATTAGTAACCTCATGAAGGCTCTCATTGTTGACATGAATAATTTTATCTCCTTCTTTTAATACGCCAGTTTTCTCTGCAACGCTACCAGCTATAATTCGTTTCACAAATATTCCATAACTAGGTCCACCACTAGTCCTTCCACCAACAATTTTTATTCCGATTCCGCCCTGGCAATTGTTCAAAACAATGCGTTTTTCAGCGGGACTTTTCTTCCCCGATGGGACAGTCTCAAACTTGTTTGTGTCACCCATCCGCGCGATTTTTCGACTTTTACGCGGTTTCCATCACCAAATCTCATTAAATAACCACAACAAATTTCAATATATAAACTCTAAATCATAATAAAGTTGTTTTATTACCACAAATCTGCTTTTATAACAAAAATTCATGTGTAAATAAACGTTTGCGTCAAAAAATTCCGATGCACGACTATTTTACGCGTTGTCAAGACGCCACGAAACTTTTCGACACTTTCCGGAATCTGTCCGAGCGTGCATTCCAATACAGATTACCGTCGCTTGCATCTAGGATGAACACTCGCAGTAAAAACATTGTCTTTGCTCACGTGAAATGTTGAAATTTTTCCAGCGGAAATGACAAGTTTTAATATGGCCCGTTGCCACCTAATTAACTTACACATATAATTTGAGTTATTGATTACCTTTGTTCCATTCTATGCTTACATAAGTTACATCACAGTTACAGTATCATTGTACAGTGGTGGTACACACGCAAAAATCTCAAAAGTCTGCCAACAAGTTGTGTTCGCACTGCTTGTCCCAAGTTGTCAACAAGTTTGGAACAAGATGGTAACAACTTGTAACAACCTTAATTGTTGATATTATCAGACTTGTTGCAAGGTTGTTCCAACAAGTCCGATACAGTCATGATATAGCAATATCGTTACAACCTTGACAGTGTTGTGTGGTCAAACTTATAACATTCTTGTTATATCATGACTGTATCGGACTTCTTAGAACAACCTTGTAACAAGTCTAATAAAGTAATAATGCCATCAAGATTGTTACAAGTTGTTAACAGCTTGTTCCAAACTTGTTTCAACACCTGGAAGTGAAAATCTTTTGTTTTTTTAGAGGTCATAGCATTCCCACTGTGATATCCAAACAAAAATAAACCTGCTAGTCTCCTGTAGCGCTGCTGTTGAAATAGTGACCACGCATATATTGCTGCGAATGTTATGCATAATAACGCATAATCTCTGCTACTGTCATGTAGACTTTAACGACTTTTTCTCACTACAAGACAAGAGGGGCCAAGAAGCCAAAAAAATGAATCGGGATGAAAAATGTTGTTGGAGTAATACACGAGCCTTGTTCAGTGTGTTCACCGATAATACAATCAGTGCATAGTGTCCGAAATTTCATTGAATTTTTCTTTTTTTTTTCTTTTCAATCTCGTCTCGTGTTAGGCGTGTAACAGATGATAGATTTCCAGGAATGTCGCAACGATGATATCAGAACGTCAACCGATGTATATAAAGTACAGGATAGGCATTTAGGCCTTTTAGGGTCAAGTTATCCTGCAAAGCAGGTCAAGTTTAAACTATGATTTTAATAGTCACCTAACATCGCCCATGTATCGCACCATTATTGGAACCAGTGGACCGACATTGGACCAACAGGACCAATGGACGGTATGGACCTGGTTCGGAAGCTACCGCCATGTTCCGACCATGTCCCGAGAGCAAATTCCGGTAATTCCGGTCATATGACTGGTTACCGAGAGCTGATGTAGGAGCAAACTGCCTTCGCGTTGAATATTATATCGTTCCGAGGTTTAGAAAGGTCCAAAGTACAGTTTTTTCGTAGTAAATCTATTTCCGTTCAATACACCGCCGTATTTTAAATGCTTCTCTAATGAACGGCGAAGAAAACGAAGCAAAGTTCGACCCTCTCGAAGAAAACGTCGACATTCAGTTACAAGGTTAGTCATCGGCTTTAATTACGTAGCTTACATTTCCTGTGGATTTTCGCAACTTTATTTTCTTATTCATGTTTTCTGTGTAGTTGTGGGAACGACGAGGGATGAACAGATCACGGGAAATTGCCTGATTTGCGGAGATCGATCGACTGGGAAACATTACGGGGCCGAGTCCTGTGATGGCTGTAAGGGGTTTTTTCGGCGCAGTGTGAGAAAGAATCATCAGTATTCGTGTAGATTTCAGCGAACGTGTGAAATCGATCGAGACAAACGAAATCAATGTCGGTATTGTCGATTAAAGAAATGCTTTCGCGCTGGTATGAGAAAGGAAGGCAAGTATTTTGCATCTTCGTTGCGCGAAAGCTCGTCAGTTTGAGCTGTGAACACTTTGCTATGTCGCGCAATAATTTGTTATTGTCTGTCTGGAATTTCCCTTTTCGGTCATTCACAACAATATATCGCGTTTGATTTACACAATCCTAAAATTCCAACTATTTTATAATGCCAAACGATATATACTAGTATTTTCAAGCCATTGGTGTAAATAATATTCTTCTTAAAACAATTTCAATTATATTAAATTGCCCGTTGGAATTTTGCAAGATGGCAAATAAATTCATATGTAAAATGTTGATAAATTTTGTTTCCGCATACTTGTCACTATTAAAAGCAAAATAACTTTTGATTTAACCCAAATACAAAATTTAAAACAATAGCTATGTAGTTAACTGCCTGTTCTACGTTTTGCGACCCTTGGCAGCTAGTTCACAATTGATTTCGAAAGTTCATATCAAAATTATTGCAAAATAGCTGTTTTCAAAAATTTTCAAAACATACCCAATGGCCATACGTAGGTCTACACAAAATGAATCACATGATAGACAAGATGAAAGCATAGTCTTTGTACTTTTAGTAAAGAAATACCTACATAAAAAAGTAAAAAATTCTTAGAACAATATTATTTAATAGAAAATTTGTTTTGGTAATTTTATTCAAGGTTTTTTCCCATGATTATAGATTACATCATTGTATTTGGTCCTGCTATTCTAGGCAC